ACCGTGAACCGCATCGAACGAGGCCGAGCCGTCCGCATCGAATTCGAGGAGGAATACAAGGGAGAGCAGGTTTTGGCCTTCCGAGATGTCATTTATGACCGCATGACCGAGCTGTTCAGCACCTCTCCTCCCGTTCTTGACGCCATGTTCGCTCACGGCACCCGAAGCCCTCTGGTTGTTGTTGATATCTTTTCTGATGGACGCGATCCCCTGGCTGCTCTCGAAGAGCACAACAAAAAAACCGGACTTGGTCTTGACAAGCCAAACATGGAATACCTGGTCAAGCAATATACCGCTCTTGGACGATCGCCCGTATGAGTCACTTTCCAAATCCTAGAACCAATGGTTGACCCGTGATACAGAATGATATTGAGCTGTTCATGTTTGCTCAAGTCAACTCGGAGCATTGCAGACACCACGTTTTTAACGCATCCTGGACTATCGATGGCGTGAACAAGCCGAACAGCCTGTTTGGAATGATCAAGAACACCCACAAGAAGAACCCTGATTACGTTATTAGCGCCTACTCCGACAACGCAGCCGTGTAAGTCCCACCTAATTTCTTGCCTATTTTCGGTGAACTGTAAGGCTACGGATCGACTCGGAATACATCATCTTTTAGCAGGTCATTACTGACTTCGGCATGGTAGTATGGATGGCGATGAGGGCAACTACTGGGCTCCAGACTACTCCACCGGCAGCTGGAAGCTCACGAAGGAGGTAGTTCAGCCTTTGATCAAGGTTGAGACACACAATCACCCGACTGCAATCTCTCCCTTCCCCGGTGCTGCGACTGGAAGTGGAGGCGAAATTCGTGATGAGGGTGCTGTCGGAAGGGGCTCCTCGCCCAAGGCCGGTCTCTGCGGTTTCTGGGTGTCTGATCTGTTGATCCCTGGCAAGAAACAGCCCTGGGAGGTTGATATCGGACGTCCAGCACACTATGCTTCCAGTCTTGACATCATGCTTGAGGCACCTATTGGCTCCGCACGATTCAACAACGAGTTTGGTCGTCCTGCCCTGACTGGCACTTTCCGAACCCTTCTCACCAATGAAGCTGACTCCGAGGCTCCCGAGTACCGTGGTTACCACAAGCCAATTATGGTAAGTTTGCGATACTAGTGTTTATCCCAGTGGAAATAGCGTTTTATGAAGACGTATGAAGCAAATTTGCTAATCGGAATTTCACAGATTGCTGGTGGTATTGGCAGTGTTCGACCTCAGCATGCCCTCAAGGAAGACGCCCATGTAGAAGATGGAGCCCACGTAAGATCCCTTTTCTTGAGTTGGTTCATAAGAAAATTGACTTAACATTGTTGATTTTCCTTATCTAAACTCCTTGTTTGCCATTACATAACTAACCTCCCCCATACAGGTTATTGTTCTTGGAGGTCCTGCTATGCTGATCGGACTTGGAGGTGGTGCTGCCTCATCCAATACTGGAACCGAGGCTACCGCGGACCTAGACTTCGACAGTGTTCAGCGTGGAAACCCCGAGCAGGAGAGACGCGCCCAGATGGTCATCAACACCTGCGTTGCTTTGGGACCCGAGAGCCCAATCGCCTTCATCCACGACGTGGGCGCTGGCGGACTCTCCAACGCGCTTCCTGGTGAGTAACATGTGACTGATCAAAAACAACAGTACTAATAGCACACAGAACTTGTAAAGGACGCTGGGTTTGGCGGCAAATTTGAGCTTCGACAAGTCGAAAGCGCCGACAACTCTATGTCTCCTCTTCAGGTACGTACTACTGGAAATATCCAGGAGTTTAAGACTAACCACCTTGTGTATAGATTTGGTGTAACGAGGCGCAAGAGCGATACGGTATGTATCGTTTACCTCAAATGCTCCCATCTCTCTGTTGCTAACATCTCAACTCTAGTTCTTCTCGTCAACCGAGATGGCCTCAACCGTTTTACTAACATCTGCCGAAGAGAACGCTGCGATTTCTCAGTTGTTGGAACTGCTGTTTCCCATGCTGAAGACGGTGCTGCTAAGCTTATCTTGACTGATCGCGAGCCAACCACCCAGCCCCCACTCGACCCTATCAACCTTCCCATGGAGGTTCTCTTCCCTCCTGGCCGAAGAATTTCTAAGGATGTTCAGACAGTTCAGAAGAATCTGCGGCCCTTTGATGCAGTGAAGAGCCTCACGGAACAGTGTGGCGCATCCAATCTCAACGAGATGGTCACTAAGGCCACCGAGCTTGTATTCAACCTTCCCTCAGTTGGTTCCAAGAGCTTCCTCATCACCATCGGCGATCGTACCGTTGGCGGGCTGTCAGTTCGAGATCAACTTGTCGGTCCTTGGCAGACTCCCGTTGCGGACGTTGCCGTCACCCTGACCAGCTTCGGCCTCGATGAGAAGACTCGTCGTGGAGAGGCTATGGCTATGTAAGCAACCCCGAGTGCTACTTTCATACACAGCAGTGTCTAACTACTTTATAGGGGAGAGAAGCCAACTCTTGCTCTGGTGTCCGCTGCTGCCTCAGCGCGAATGGCCGTCGCCGAGAGTTTGATGAACCTCGGTGCTGCTGACATCAAGCCCGGACCTGTTAATGGAGACTTGAAGCGTGTCAAGCTCTCAGCTAACTGGATGGCTGCCGTTGGTCACCCTGGAGAGGGCGCAGCGCTGTACGAAGCGGTTGAGGCTATCGGTCTGGAGCTTTGCCCTCAGCTTGGCATCTCCATTCCCGTCGGCAAGGACTCGCTCTCTATGAAGGCCTCTTGGAAGGATAAGGAGACCTCGGATTCTAAGACCGTCACTGCTCCTGTTTCTCTGGTCATCTCTGCTTTCAGTTTGGTCGAGGATGTGCGTAGCACTTGGACTCCCCAACTCCGACGAGTCGAAGAGGTCGGCGACAGTCTTCTCGTCTTCGTTGACCTTGCACAAGGTTTCAAGGCTATGGGTGGCTCTGCCTTGGCTCAGTGTCTTGGCCAAATTGGAAATGAGATTCCTGACGTCAGGGATACTGAGTTGGTCCGCGATTTCTTCGACGCTCTGTGGCAATTGCACCAGGTATGTTTATTCGGCGCTGCAAGAAAACAATTTACTAACACATGCTTAAATAGGAGGACGTTGTCCTTGCCTACCATGATCGCTCAGATGGTGGTCTGCTTACTACCGTCGCCGAGATGATGTTTGCCGGTCGATGTGGTGCTGAAATTTCGCTCGATAACGTTGCCGAGTCCGACGATAAGGTTCTCGATACTCTGTTCAACGAAGAGCTCGGCGCCGTGTTCCAGATTCGCCGAGGCGACGAAATCAGATTCAAACGATGCTTCGCTACTTGCGGTCCTCCTCATGGCTTGATAAGGACGATCGGCTACGTCAGACCTACGTCTAAGCAGTCTCTTCTTGTAAAGTATAAGACTAAAACGGTCGTCGACCTCGACCGAGTCCAGATGCAGCAATGGTGGTCGAGCACATCCTACGAAATGCAGAAGCTTCGTGACGACCCAGCTTGCGCCCAATCCGAATTCGATTCCATTAGCGACCTAAAGGACCCCGGTCTTCATTTCAAGTTGAAGTTTGACCCTGCAGATGTCAGCCTACCGGCTATGACTAGCCTAAAGAGTCTTGTCTTCAAGCCCAGAGGTAAGCGATTTCTAGTAATTCAGTCGATCAACCTTCGCTAACGCGTGCGAAAACAGTCGCTATTCTGAGAGAGCAGGGTGTCAACGGCCACGCCGAAATGGCCTTTGCTTTCCGAGCTGCGGGCTTCGATGCTGTGGATGTCCACATGTCCGATATCTTGGACGGATTTTCCTTGGATGGTTTCCGTGGCTTGGCTGCTTGTGGTGGCTTCTCCTACGGGTAAGATATGATCGAGACGCCTCATTCGATGCAAGTCGCAAGTATTGACAGTTGCCTTTTAGTGATGTTCTTGGTGCCGGCAATGGATGGGCTCAGTCCATCCTTATGCACGATGGCGCACGAAGGACCTTCGAGGCCTTCTTCAAGCGACCTGACACATTCTCGTTCGGTGTCTGCAACGGTTGCCAGATGCTTACCAGACGTACGATTCTCCCCAAGCCTTTCGTTACAAGAATAATCGCTAACTGCGAGTGTTATAGTCAAGGAGTTGATTCCTGGAGCTGAGCACTGGCCCACCTTTGGTACGTCTCTATTCTCACTTGTTGCAGCATCAATGACCAAATACTGACTCTGTGATAAAGTTGAGAACGCGAGCTCGCAATTCGAGGGCAGATACACCATGGTGACTGTCCATGATAAGTCAGCTAACTCTGTCTTCTTCTCTGGCATGAGCGGTTCCTCGCTCCCGATCGTCGTATCCCACGGTGAAGGCCGAGCCGAGTTCTCCTCGGATAGTGACCTGCAGTCTGTCAATGACGAGGAACTTCTTCCCCTCCGCTATGTCGACAACTACGGACATGTCACGGAGAAGTACCCCGCCAACCCCAACGGTAGCCCTCAGGGTATTGCCGGTGTGAAGAGCAAGGATGGCCGTGTTGTGGCCATGATGCCTCATCCGGAGCGAACTATCATGGCTGATGTCGGATCGTGGAAACCCGAAGATCAGCTTGCGGAGTGGGGTCATTTTGGACCTTGGTTCCAGCTGTTCCTGAATGCGCGCAAGTGGGTTGGCTAGGTATGTTGATGGGATAGGGTCGTTCATTGAAAGGTGTTTTTGGGAGTGGATCATTTTACGGATGTATATGGATGATGAAAGCATAAAAAAGCTGTTCGATGATAACTGCCAGTAGATGGAGTTTCACATAGAAATTGTAGCAAGTTATATTTGAAGGCACTGACTGTGTGCTATATGAGGTGAGTGTTGTTAACCTTGGTTGGTTCTCATATTTGAACTATCAATTAGGTGGAAATCTGATCCGAGGACCCAAGCAGACAGCCAGCGAGTACGAGCGTCATCAACCACAGAGACCAACATCAACAGAGCAAAAGTACTTACTAGTCGTTCAAAGAACTGATCAAAGAACCATGTACTATCAACTCGTCAGAACGGCAAAAAAAGAACGTGTGTTCCCGCGGGGTTTCGAACCCCGGACCTTGACATTACACCATAAATCAACCGATCATTGAATTATAAGAGTCACGCGGTAACCACTCCGCTACGGGAACTCGGTACGCAATCCAAAGTTCCGTTAACACCACCTAATAGACCATGCGATGCATGACTCGCGCCCTCGTCCGGTTTCTCCATCAACGCTTGACGATGCACCTTAAACGACAGCGACACGGCATCTTGAAATTGTGGGTTGAGATGCAAACATATAAATTATTTCCCTTTTGCTTGTTTCTTGGTTGTCAAGTGCCGTATATTACTTGCTGAGCCACACTTGTCGACTTGAACAGCGGCCCGCGGCAATATGCCCTGTAGGCGCCAGCTGGGCGTGATCCTGATCCTAAGTCTCCAATCCCCCATTCATTGACGTGGCTCTTCTGAAATTCTCTCGAGGAATTGGTATCTCTCTGAGCTTGACCTCGGCTCCAATCACAATCTTCTACAAAACACCAAGGACTGAACAAGTGTAGTGTGCTACGTCCAAGTCAACCAGACCACAGTTCTACATCTTCTTGTCCCGTTATTTTTCTAGCCCTCAATTTTAAAGTTTTCATCTTTGAATCACTCTACGATGAGAGTATCTAAAGCCCCAGACCAGTTGTAGCGTGCATGCCTACTTCTCCAGATTTGATCAAGGGTCTCGGTGCAGCCTGCGTAGACTGCTGTCTTGCGCAATTTGTTGGAATGTTGGCTGGTCATGAGGAGCAGAATAGCATATACGTCGGTCGACCTTTGAATTACTACCAACCGGGAAAGTAGCAATGTTATAGGAAATACCACTTCGTGTTGCAGACCTTTTAGACTCGTTTGACATGCTTAATTCCTGGGCTTGCGTGAAAATTGGATCGCATCTCGTGATTGCTACGCTGTACTTTGAGAGAAAGCAAGGCTTGATCAATAATAACAGGACATTACAACCATGGCGTGAGCCATGCCACGATGCAGAATATCTCAAACAATGCGCTCTCATCTGAAGAGGCCCTATGGCTTGATTTGTAGTCGAAATGGAAACTCGACCAGCTCTCTGAGTTTTGTGCTTGGGACGTGATTCATTGTGTCTTCAACCTCACTTAAATTCCCTGCCTTTATAGACGATTTATTTTAGCTCCGTTGGATTATTTAAAGAGCCAGCCTATCATGTTTCGATGCCTCTGCATCACACTGATCTCTCAGTACCTCGGCTGGTATCAGGCACCACATGCGTTTTCCGACGGCCTCAACGCCTGATTAACATTGTTAATAAATTCAAATACTCAGCTCGCTACCTAATTCATTGTAAATCGAATACTCTCGCTTGTGGTATCTGCTCTAAAGTCTAAGTTCCTTGCATTGACACACTTAATTCATTCAAATGGGGCTCTCAACAGTAAAACGAGAACCTCCCATCCTTAAACCGTGCGAGAGTCTTTCCTGAAACCAGACCGTGTGGTCCTGGGGCTAAGGCTTAGATACTACTGGGAGGTGCCTGCGTGGCGAGATGGACTACCGTCAGGGCTGTGCATGAAGACTTGGGTATCATAGCTCGAGATACGACAGAAATATTTAGAGAATAAGAAGACGCTGACGAATGAAGTGGCTGCTGTATTGGCCATCAAAAGGGCAAGGTGGATGTGCCACCAACTCTCTTCACCACATACGACGTGTCTACCGCCCTTCACGGCTACATGGTTTAAGAGGCGACCTCACTCGTCACTAACTTCTTCACGCGGAGACAACTTAGCCGAGATGGAATTAAGTTTGTCGATGCAAGGTTCAGATGTGGTTGTTGACTCTGCTGGAGACCCCCATGTGGTTGCCTGGCTAGGCCACTTTACTAGAACGGGACATCCCACTGTATCCCAAATACGGTCTCCTGAAGTACAATCTCTATATGTAGCACTTCTCCGGTAGAGAACCTAGCCTTCCGGAGGAGCGAGGGTTTAAATGCGCTACTGGCTACAATGTCAGGTAGAACCAAAGAGGTAACACAGCCATACCCAACCATGGATATGCACCTCCTCGCGTTTAAAAAGGCCGGCCCATTCATACATGAAACCTCGTCCAGCATTGACGAAGATGCAGAGGCGTGGGATGCCGAATTAAAAAGATATGGGAGGCGACAACGATCAACCAAGCATTCGAGCAATGGATCGTATCTCTCGAGCAAGCAAAGAAGCAAATGCTAGATAGAGAGAACGCGACCGAGTTCTTTAGCTCTCGGGATTTTTCGATAATGCAAAGATGTAACGGCACAAGGCCGAACAATACGAAATGTGAAATTTTCTCTATCTATGGCTTGCCGGCTTGGTTTCATGACACAAGAAGCAGCTTGTTACTATTAAAAAGGGTTATGCGGATGTTCAGCAACTACTGATTGGGTGAGCAAATTCGAGAGGCACCATAAAAGAAACGTGCATAACACCGCTATTCGATCTTGTTTGTAGACAGCACGCTGATAGAAACTAGTTAGTTGAAGACACATAGGTGATCGACACATCATACAACGAGATGTTTTTGGGATTCATGGATTGATAGTTTTAAAACCGTGCATTCCATGAGCACTTTTCTTCCTCGCATATTCCTGTGATAAATCCATGACAAATGATTACCCCCGGTAACAGTGAAAGCATTGTTCTCCGACTGCGGCTCTAAGCAATGCGTCAAATGACGCTGCTGCTGTTAACCCCATAGAAACCCCATATAAGCCACTTTCCCGAGGGTTGTTGGTCATTAGAATCTAGGAATAAAGATACGAAGGCTCTTTTTTCTGCCTTTCTATTCGCTCCATCGGCTAGATGAGCTCTGAGTGGACCTTAACGGATGCCGGTTAGCCGTAACGTTTACGACGACGAACGGTTGGATTCTAGTATACACCCGCTAAGTTGCTTGGAGATTGAAAAAGAAAACAAAAAAAAACAGCAAGTCATCAATCAAGTTCGAAACCCGAATAGAGATGAGTCTCCTTACGAAAATCAGAGTTTCACTATATGGACTGATGGGTATCATATTACAGTTTGGGCATTCATCGGTGATCGACGGCATGGGGGATCAGGAACCCGATCTCGGATACGCCAACGGAGCGGCGTGCGCGGGACCCGGACTCCAAGCACCCACGCGTTCCTTACATTCCGTACACTAGTTATGCACAATTCCATGAGATTATCTTATCTGATGGTGTGATCAGATCAAGTAAGGACCCTGAATAAGGAACAGCACCCCACGCTTCGGACGAACGATGCGAGCATAGCTCCAGGGTCTGTAAATTAGTGACTAATACGACCGTGGGCAGCTCTCTACTTAAGTCATCGTAGTCCTCTTTTTCAGGAGGAGATTAGAACAGAGACCGGCTAACTGTCGTGAGATTTCTAACTTACATCACGAAGATCTTTTCGGCAATCCACGTTCGACATGACAGACAGAATAGCGCCAGTGGGCGATTCGGTCGCTCCTTTGGATGTCGAAAACCCTTTGAAAGACAAGGGTCAGAAGGTGCAAGGAGTACGCTTGGCTGAAGCAGTTACTCTGTCTTAGACCAAGAAGTCGTTAATCATCATCTACAGCTGGTGAGCAGTCATGCCCTGAAGAGAACCAGCTACCCTCGTTGCTGACACGCACAAAGCATGTGGCTCATGTACTTTGTACAAGCTCTTCAGTCTAATCTCACATCCAATCTTGCACCTTACATCACCAGTGACTTTGAAGGGCACTCGCTCCTCACCGTCATCGCTACCATGACCAGTATCATGAGTGCAGCTTGTACCATGCCGGTTGCCAAGATACTCAATATCTGGGACCGCACAGTCGGCTTCACTTTGATGATGACAATCGCGATGATCGGGTTGATCGTAATGGCCTCTTGCAACGACATTGCCACCTACTGTGCCGCACGGGTCAGTCCCTTATAGAGCCAAGCTCCCTCCCTCACAGACCTCTAACGTGCTTCGCAGGTTTTCTACTCCGTTGGGTTCACCGGTGTCATTTTCTCCGTCGACGTTCTAACGTCTGACACGTCTTCGATGCGAAACCGAGGCCGAGCCTTCGCCTTCACCTCATCCCCGAATATCATCACTGCGTTTGCAGGGTCTCCACTCGCGAACCAGTTCCACGAGTCAAACTGACGATGGGCCTACGGCACGGTCGCGATAATATTGCCAATTGTTGCAACACCCCTCATTGTTACATGGAATCTGGCAAGGAGAAAGGCAATGAAGAACCATGTTGTGGAAAAGACGGCCTCAACTCGGAGCTGGATGGAGTGCTTCAGGTATTACTTTGTGGAATTTGATGGTAAGTGTTGCCTCCATATTAACATCACAAACAACAGCTAATTACCGTTAATTACTCCAGTAATTGGGATCTTTCTACTTAATGCAGGCTTCTCTCTCTTGCTGCTTCCGCTTACCCTCGCTACATCGCAACCCGAGCAATGACGGTCCGCTTCCACCATCACCATGATTATCCTCGGCGGCGTCCTGGTTATAGTGTTTACCATCTACGAGCGTTTCTTCGCACCTAAACCATTCATCCCCTATCACCTACTGGCCAACCGTACGGTCATTGGTGCCTGTCTGATGGACATGACCTACCAAGTTGCCTATTACTGTTGGAACAGCTACTTTACCTCATACTTGCAGGTTTTCTATGAGACATCGCTCACAGAAGCGGGTTACATCAACTCGATATTCGACATGGTCTCGGCGGTTTGGCTCTTCGGTGTTGGGTTCCTCATGCGCTACACCGGCCGCTTCAAGTGGCTTTTGCTGTGTGCCGTACCGTTGTACATGCTGGCTGTGGGACTTATGATCTACTTCCGATCGCCCAGCAAGAGCGTTGGCTTCATCGTCATGTGCGAAATCGTCATGAGTCTTGGGGGTGGCGCAATTATCCTGCTCTCGCAGATTTCTGTCATGGCAGCATCCAAACACGAGGACTACGCAGCAATGCTTGCCTTGCTCAGCCTCTTCGGTAACATGGGTGGTGCCGTGGGCAACAGCATCTCCGGTGCCATCTGGACGAATACTCTACCGGGAAAACTACAAGAATACCTCCCAGAGTCTACGAAGTCGAAGTGGTACGA